TCTTAACTGCAACAATTATTAGTTTCATTGAGGAACACCACATGAAACATTGCAAAGCGTCACTGGATGTAATCGCACACAAAGTAAGTACTAGCTACATTTATATATATATAATTCAATTAACACCATGCATGCTTTCAATTCACCGGATCTTTTTTCTCGTAAAAGTGGGTTCTGAGGCAAGAACAGGAAACAACTACTGCGGATACTATGTTTGCGAGTTCATCATGGCGTACGCAAAAAGAACTCCTGAAGAGATCCTCAAAGTACGTTATATAAATATATTCATATATTCACAATTTCTTTTATTGCTCATATATATAAGTAATCACATGACCAACACACACACATATATATATATTAATACTTTTCTGTTAACTTTTACTGAAGACTCTATGGTTGAAGGAAAAAGTCATACGACGTGACCAACTGAAAGCAATTCAAGAGACAATAGCAGGATTTCTTAATGACCAGGTCTTAAACCCCGCCGGCGAGTTCTACAATGACGTGAATGAAACATGAAAGCCAAACCAGATGAAGTGAATTTGTTATCCCAAGGATATGATAGAATATACAATGCAAGATTTATTGGTAATATATATATATATATACATATTATATGTAAATAAAATAACGTACAATATATGTATATGCATGTAATATATACGTTAGTTTCATACTTTAGTTTGTATAAAATGTTCGAACATTATAAGCGTGTAGAATACGTATATTATTAGCAGCGTAGAATGCGTATTCGAAAACCTATTCGAAACCAAAATGAATCATCAATTGAAAATAGAAAAAAAAGAAAACCTTTAGTCCCGGTTGGTATTACCAACCGGGACTAAAGGGCCGGCCCACGTGGCCAGGTCGGGAGGCCTCTTTAGCCCCGGGCGAGAAACCGAGACTAAAGAAGAGGCCCTTTAGTCCCGCATTCTTGCTCCTGATTGAGAAACTGGGACTGAAGGGGGTTTCCCAACCGGGAGTACAGCCCATTTCTATACTAGTGATTATAGTATATTACATATAATGCAACTAACGTATATTTTTTCGATAATATGTCTTGTTAGGGTATATACTATTATGTTGTGATACATTTACACCGATCATGTTACAATATTTTTATATAAAATAACTATAATGGTAGGGTTCCATATGTTTTGACAAATTTGTCACGTACAAAAATGATATGGTTACATGCATGCTTTTTTCGTAGTTATCAATGCACGTTCGGCTCGTTCACATTAATTAAGAAATGTTAAAAAAGAAGTCACTATAGATGTCACGTCCAAATAAAAATTAATGCTAATCAAATTATGTCATATCCAAAGTTGCAAAATAAAAAGATTTACGATATCTAATAATAGATCACATATGCATCAATTATATCTATAAAAAAGATTTTTGATCTAAAACTTTTTCCTTATTTATTGTACTCTACAAAATTAAAAAAGATATATATTTCAACTATTACCTCCTAGGAAGTAATACATGATATCAACCATCCAATTTAATTAAATGAATGGCTCACAGTCATTTGGAGGTACCACAACAATGCCCTTGACATATGTGATCTTAACAATTAGAATAGAGACGTGTTGGGTTATAGACCAAGTTCTTCTCGTCAAAGAATTTCAATCGGCTCCCATTCATCTACTCTGATCGCAATTTCGGCCCTTCAGAAATTAATTATATTCTACCAACAAACAGATAAGGACTCAAAACTATATCAGCAGATAAAGCAGCTTGCTATGATTGATCCTCGCTAGTAATTAGGATGAGAGAAGAAGTGCAGCAGCTTCGCCATCTCCGGGAACATGCGAGTTGGACGGTAGTCTTGGTTGAGGCAGACGACAGTAGCCATCGCTTCTAGCACGAGCTGCCGTATATGCATGTAATCATGGTCATCGGCTCACACGAGAGTAGGAGAGACTTGTACCTGTACATGTGTGGCTACTGGCTGTGGCCAGTGGTCACTGGTCACCAAGCTAGTATACATGCCGAGAGACGACGACCTACCTTGCGGTCCGGCAGCGTCGCGATCAAGGCGCTACTGTTCATGCACTGTTTATAAGAGCTCATTTTCTGTCTCTTCTCACAAAGTCGGCGGAGCCAGTTTTTTTTTTCTTCACCGGCTTTGTGAGAGAAGGAGAGATGAGAAAAAAAGAGCTCCTGTGTAAACAGTGCATGCGTTAGAAAAGTTAGAGCTAGTGGGAGCTCTATCAAACAGGGCCTTAGACGCCACCTTCGGGAACATGCACGTCGGACACAGGGGCGAAGCTACTCTATGGCTAGGGGGGTGCACATGCATCCCCCAAAAATGTAAAGTCAATGAGTTTGTTTAAAAGCTCACCACATATGTACTCTCTATGAGACATGTCTATGCACTCATAACGCAAGTGCATCTTCCTCTAATTTGCTTTAGCTTCGCCACTGATTGAACATAGTCTTTGTTGAGGAAGACCACGGTGGTCGTCGCTTCCAGGACGTGCTGCATGCCGAGCCTAGTAATTGAGCGGATCAAGTGCTAAGATTTGTTAGTTCGTTGAATAGTACTCCCTCCGTTCCAAATTATAAGTCAGTGTAGCTTTTTTAGTGAGTCAAAATATCTCAAGTTTGACAAAAAATATATAGAGAATTACAAAGATTTATGACATCAATTATGTCTACTATGAAAATGTAATTAATTAAGAATCTAATGATACTTATTTAGTATCATAAATGTTATTATTTTATTATATAAATTTGGTCAAATGTTTTGACTCTTTAAAGTTGGAATGACTTATAATTTGGATCGAGGGAGCAGTAGATATCTTGTACTATACATTTGTTAGTTTGTTGCCTTTTTTGTTTTCTTTTTTTTTCTAAACATTTGAATTAATTAATAATTACTTAATTATTGCACGTGCCTTAAAAATCAAAAGCTAAGATTTATTTCAGATAAAGCCGGCTGAAGCTGATTTGTTGTGAGAAAAAAATACTGTAGATTCTAGTTGATAAACCGGCTGATATGTTCAAGTGAACAGGCCCCTTACCTCCTATGGGTAGTGGGAGTATCTTAGCAAAAGCCTTCAAAAAATTCCCTACAGCCAAATTCTTAGAAATTGAAACAATACATAAATCCAAGGGTCGTCAACACTCCGTGGTTAATTAACCTGGATTAAAAAAAGAAAAGAAGCTCGACCTAACCTTCGAATGTAATACTGGCGTCTTCTGCCCAAACCAGCAGTGCAGTACTGCATGAACTAGGAGGTGCTTGTATGCAACTTGTTCGAGAAAATGACTAGTACTACATGAACTAGGAGGTGCTTGTATGCATCTTGTTCGAGGAAATGACCAAGTGTAAGAAAGTAAAGAAGAAGATGCGAATGAGAAGGAAATAACTGGCATGTGGGATACAGGGGTGAAGGTACACTATGGTTATGGGGTGCACATACACCCCCCATAAAATACAAAGTCAACGAGATTGGTTAAAATTTCACCACATATGCATCATCTATGAGACATGTCTATGCACCCACATGATAAGTGCATCTCCCTCTAATTTACTCTCTAGATTCGCCACCGGTGGGATACGTGACCACGAGTACAAAACCACTGCCACATCAAACAAAGTTAGGGTTGAATCGAGTCACGGAGGAAAATAAGTAGTCTGTAAAGTTGAGGAGGACAAAATATATATCTGGTTTTGCACTCGATGAAATAGTTTCAGGAGGCAAAATGTTTTTTTTTGGTGCAAAAAAAAGTTGTCAGGCCTGACCGGATCACATCCCAATAGAGGAGCCCATTCCATAGCGGGCTGTAATATTCACGATCCAACTCCTCGGAGGGCCGGACCAGATCGTTTAGGGCGCGTTTGTTTAGGGTGGTTCTGGACAGGAATACATCCTGGTCGAGAGCAGCGTATATAAATTAGATAAGTGTTCCTACCCGGAACAGTTTCTGACCTTACCTCAGAACCCCAGAAACCGAACAGGCCCCTTAGGGGGGAGGACCGGTGGACGGAGTTTATCGGGCAGTCCATTCTGAGCTCCAAGAGCTGGAGAAAATGGGACTCGACCATCATCTTTGGAACCCCAATAGTGAGTCTGTCTGGGAGGAGGCCACGAGCTAACTGACCAAGCACGAACACGAAGCAGCAGAGACCTCATGCGTTCCAAACGATGCCAAAATTGCATTCATGTCCTGAAAAAAGGGGAAAGATAAAACTATGCATTGATTTCTCAAGGGCCGACTGCCAAGTCGGTCACATTCCGGACACGCATTTCAGCATGGGAGCCTTGGTTGTCTTTAGAGTCGCTGCTGCCACCTGCAAAGAAAAACCGCTGATGCTGATGGATACAGGGGACAGATCCACGGACAGGCGGCAGATGATCTGTCTGAACACATAATTTGCATGTGAATCGGCAACAGAGTACAGGAGAGGCTATAGAGAGGAAGAATGCAGATGCAAAGCATCCGTGCTCGTTCGTTAAGCATGGGCGGCCTAGGATAGAACAATCGGCTTTCAATCTGAGACGTATAACAAACCAATTAGACAAAAAATCAATGCCGGTAGCACTATTTTTCGAGATAATTTGCATACAAATCATTGGACTCATGCTTCTCTAAGGGCAAATACTTTGTTCTCATGGCTTGTAGCCCATATAAATATATCATCTGATTCTATCTTTAACATGTGAATACAACATTGACACTGTCCAGTGCAGTGTCGACGTCCGGGCTGCCGCTCGCTATCTGAATGTGACCTGCACGGGTACGCTTGTAGCATTGCTTTTCCTGTTAAGGAAAGACCGACGTGCTAACGCCGCGTTCATGAAAAAAACATTGACACTCTAATACATATTCGTGCAAGGTTTTGGCATTCATCAGTTGAATGCCCTTGGATCAAATGAGGTCCGACCCATGTAGTTACCCTTGGATCAAATATGCTCTAGTATACTCTATTGAACACGGTAACAGCAGGCACGAAGATGGAACATGCATGCTTGCTAGGGTTATTAGAAGAAGTGCAGCAGCATCTTAGACGCCACCTCCGGGAACACGCGCGTCGGACGGTAGTCTTTGTTGAGGAAGACCACGGTGGCCATCGCTTCCAGGACGAGCTGCATGCCGAGCTAAGTAAGTGGATCAGGCATAATATGAACACTACTACGTAGGAGGTATGAGTAGGTCTACGTGCACCCTGCACGCATACCTTGCGCTCCGGCAGCGTCTCGATGAAGTGCTCGATGACCATCCGCGCGCGCTTGATTTGGATGACCCTCACCATAACAACGAACCTAGCGCCACGCTGAAGAATTGTTGTTTATATAAAAACGCGGTAAATGAATTAAAAACCAGAGTTAGCTAGAGGTTAATAATATATAAAAGAGCAAACTCATGAGCTGACGACGCATGCATCCATCTCACCATCTGTCTGCAATGCGCATCGTCGTCGCGTACCTTTAGAGGCGTGAAGTAGTTGAGTTTCAGCTCGGAGAGTGCCATAGCGTTGCCAGTGCGTGCGATCGAGTCTCTGCCGATGCCAAGCCTCGAAGCAACCTCTTCCCGAGCTGAGACGGGATGGGACAATGTCATTGACTCATTGTGCAGGGTACGTACGTGGCAAGTAAAAAGGAGGTTAATTAATAAAAGCCGAAGTCGTAAAAGTGTAGGCACAACCCATACTATAAATCCATCCTACCACCGACCATTTTCGATGTAATCCGCGTATACAGCACTGCTGACAAGCCCGTACTGGTCAAGCTCGCAGTCACGGACCTCCATCTCCACTAGGCAAAATTTGTCCTCCCTGTATATATATGGCATCAGCCAAAGGATATATCATATCCACTTACGCTAGCTTTGGATCCTACGAAAGGAACACAGAAGATCAGAAAAACCAAGGGGACGGGAGAACCTCGGTTTTGTGCCCTGCTGGCCGATGTTGTTTGCGCACATGGTCTCAAGGGGACGGGAGTCGGGGCCAGCGACCTGCAGAGCTCCTGCGCGGCGGGCAAGCGGCCGGCGTCCAGGGAGGACGGCGAGGTGGCTGCTGCTGCAGAGACGCCAAGCCAGCACTGATCGCTCTAGCTACTAGTGGTTTACTGGTGTTTGGAGGCAGCTGGGGGCAACAGCGAAGCCGCATGCCGAGCTCCATGTTTGCAGCGATGGCTACCCTGTGCTGCCGTCTCTTTATTAGGCAGAGCGCGCGTAACCTCTTGCTACCTCATCACTGAAATAATGCTATTTTGGGCTAGGCCAAGTGCCCAAGTGAAACGAACGATGTGGCCTTTGCTGACATGCGGAGCACGTGGGCTCTGTTACGTTGGCCGTTGGGCACTACCCATACTAAAAGTTTTAAGGAGCTAAAATCTGAATAGAATTTACCTAAAGAACCAAACACCTTCTTCTAAAAGCTTCTAAAAACTTTAGGAGGGACCAAAAACTTTAGGAGCTCCACCCTCCCTAAAAGCTCCTAAAGTCCATCCTGGACCCCCACTACCCCTCCTTTATTGCCCTGCCCCCCCTCTCTCTCTCTCACCCTCCCTCCCACCCGCGCCTCCATCTTGCGGCCCGTACCCTCCACTGACGGATCCCCACCGGATCCCTGCCGCCGCCACCCACCGGGATCTCCTCTCCCGCGTGGCGCCCGCCGGATCCTGCCGCGCCCCGCCCGCCCATGCCTCCGGCCTCACCTCGCCGCATCCACCGGCCCCAAACCGGTCTGCCGCACCTTCGCGCTGGACCTGGAGATGGCGGCGGCGCTGCTCGCCTCCATGTACCCTCCGTCTTCCCCGCCGCCATGGGGCCCGAGTCGGCGCCGCCCCTCTGACCTCCTCCCGCCGTTCCCCGTCCTCGACCCTTGCGCCGCCGGATCTGCCGGCCCCTGCCGCCACCCGTGCTCCGCCGCCCATGCTCCCCGATGGGCAGGGGGAAGGCCGTGACCAAGACGAGGCGGTGGCACGTGGTGGAGCTGCTCACGCTCCCGTCCGTCGAGATGGACACCTCCGCGGAGACGGCGAGGAGGAGGAGAGCGAGGGCCACGACGGGAGCAAAGAAGGAGCAGGGGTAAAGAGGAGGGTTGCATGGTCTATTTGCTAGTGCATTTATTGCTTTTAGTTAGTTTTAGGAGATGGAACCAAACACTCTTTTAGAAGGTTTTGACAACCTCATAAAAACTCCTAAAACTTTTAGCTCCTAAAAATTTTAGAAGCTGAACCAAACATGGCCTTACAGTTCAGCTTACTTTTTTCCTGAGTTAAATTACAGTTCAGTTTACATTTTTTCCTAAGTTAAACTTTTTTTTTTTAATTTTGACAAAGTTCTTAGAAAAATATAACATCTACAAGTTCAATAAATGTGCTGTCAAGATATATTTCAAAGAGAATTTTATGAAACTGATTTGATATTGTAGATATTGATAAATATTTCAATAATTTTAGTTAAAGTTGGAGAAGTTTGAGCCAAAATGGATTATAATTTTAATAGGAGGAATGCATCTCACGACAAGCCAACTGCTTCAATGCATCTGATGTCAGATATTCTTTTTAACTTTGAAATCAATATCAGATAGTAGTAGCAGTTTTGCATAATACAACTTTGATCTTTCATTTCTTTTATTTCTATTGTAATTTTTTTAAATGAACCGGCATGAGAGCTGCTTGTTATATGAAAAAGGAGAAAGCCAAAGATAGCCGCAATAGCACTGTACAAGGCGTTTTAGCATGCCACACCCCCAATGTAAAGTATACCACAAAAGGATCAAGTAAAAAGTAGAAGAGTTGCTAGATGTTTTGCTCTGGCCACTTTCCAAGGCCTTGCTACATCTCTAATCTTGTTTAGTACTTGTTGATTTGTTGTGCAGCTACACTCAAAAATTTGTGCCTTTGTTTCCTTCCACACTTCCCAGCATGTTAAGATGATCAGAGAGGGCAAACCTTTTCTGTCCGCATAGTGAATTCGGGCCATGTTACTACACCATTCGAGGACACTTTCGCCATGGACCTAGTTGACGGGTAGTAGAACAGATACATCAATCCACATTGCAATGCCTTCCCACAACCGCCTAGTGAAAATGATAATCTTGGAAAAGATGCAAGACTTGGCAACTTATAGTAGAAGGGGCAATTTCCAGAATTTGGCCAACCACGAGTAACCAAACAATCCTACGTCCAAACTCTATTTTGTAAAACTAACCAACTGAAGAATTTGCACTTTGGCGGTGCCCAAGTCTTCCAAATAAGGGAGCAAAAAAATTGTCATGCGGTGGATTGGGGATTGCCGGTCGCCGGATCCGAACGAAGAAGAGAGAGGTAGCATCAGTGGGCGGAGATCAGCCCGGCCGGCGCGAGTTGCAAGTCATGCATCGGCGGTGGCGGAGTCGTTGCTTGGGACTTGGGAGTGCCTTTTCGGCTCGCCATGTACGTTGTGAGGTGGAGTGGGGATTTTTTTTTGAGAGAGATGGGAGCCGGCCCACTGCGCAGGTCGGGGAGCTGCATCTGGACGGACGCACACCTGTGCCGGAGCATTACTATTTTTTTTTCTGCTTTCTCTCTTTCTAAGATGCAATGATTATATAACGCTAGAAAGTGCACTTATTCTGGGACGGAGGTAGTACATATTGTTTTGCATGACAGCTTGTCTCAATGATTTGACTTGATCTTTCAAAAGCACCATCACGTCATTTTTGTCCAATCACTAGCTCCGTTGAACTCTGGTGGCTTGTTTCTTGCGTTGCATTGTGTTAGTTGTACACTGAACAAACAGTCTGTTATCTTATGTTTTGACAGGAGCATTAATTGAGAAATAATCTTGGTCTTTTCAGTTCAGTTCATCAGCAACTTATGTTGTTCTTCCCAATTACTCCTCCCAAAATAGATGACTTTTATTTAAATTTTGTTCCAAAATGCTTGACCTTTTCACTTTTCAATGTAATTTTCTCTTTTACCAATACATTTTTTCTCTTTTCCTAACGCATCTACTCCCTCCATCCTGAAAAAGAATTCTAGTAGAGTAACAAGTTAAAATATCTAAAAGTTTGACTAATAATATATATAATTATAAATAGTTATGATATCAATAAGTATCATTAGATTTGTCATGAGATACATTTTCATAATATATTTATTTGGCGTCATAAGCATTGATCTTTTTAACTGTATATATATTTGGTCAAACTTTGGGAAGAATGCACTTAGAATTGCATTCTTTTCTGGACAAATGTAGTCTATTTCTATTCCTTGAGGAGCATTTTGGTCTTTTGGCTTTAGCATTGATTTTTGTGAGAGATTATAAAATGTCATCTAATATGGGACAGATGGATTAGCTCTTAGTTTAGTATTCTGCTTGCTTATTAGAGCTTTTATTAGTCAGCTTTTTAGTGACTAATTTAATACGTCCTTTGCCATTTTGCTTCTGCACAACTTCAAGATATTTCTAATTGTTTCTAAGATCAACATATCGCTAGCTGACATGTGTGACCTTGATAATTGGAAAAAAAGACGTGTTGGGTTATAACCAAGATATAGACCAAGTTCTTCTGCGAAGACTTTTAATCGGCTCCCATTGATCCCACTCTGATCGCCATTTCTATCCTTCAAAAATTAATTCTATTCTACCAACAACAACAGATAAGGACTCTAAACTATGGTTGTGTTTGGTTGAGCTTCTGAAAAGATATTCTATTGCCACAAAAAGGAGAAATCCAACCAAAACATGCGAGTTCTAAATTAAAGCTGTTTTTTCGGAAGCAGCTGCTTTAATTTTGTGTAGTACAATTTTAGAAGCAACTTGAACTCTGGTTTTGACTTTTGACTTCCTGCTTTTCGAAATGGATGGAAATACAGAGCTATTTCATACTTGTTTGAAGGAAGATAGAGAGAGGCGATAGCTTTTATACTGGTTTCAACCAATCAACTTACAACTTTACTGTGGTACATAGCGCTCACGACAGTTTTTTTCACAGTGCATAGCAAAATCAAACAAACCCTCTATCATCAAATAAAGCAGCTTGCCATGATTGATCCTAGCTAATTACTAGGATGAGAGAAGAAGTGCAGCAGGTTCGCCATCTCCGGGAACATGCGAGTTGGACGGTAGTCTTTGTTGAGGTAGACGACAGTAGCCATCGCTTCTAGCATGAGCAGACATATGGATATAATCATGGTCATCAGCTCACGTGAGAGTAGGAGAGACGTGTACATGTGTATGTCTTTTTAGTTTTGCGTGGTGCGGGTCAATATAGATCCGTCCCTGTTGGCCTGTGGTCACTGGTCACCAAAGTATAGATGCGGAGACGAGCGACTTTCCTTGTGGTCCGGCAGCCACCAGCAGAGAACAGATCTTTCATCCGATGTTAAAATGGGCTCTAGTCCCGGCATTTTTTGCGTCCGGGACTAGAGAGACCTTTAGTCCTGGTTGGTGTCTCCAACCGAGACTAAAGGTCCCTACCCAACGGCTACTGCGCTCGGCACAGTGGCAGATGATCTTTAGTCCCGGTTGGAGACACCAACCAGGACTAAAGGTGGACCTTTACTCCCGGTTGGAACCACCAACCGGGACTAAAAGTCCTCAACCTTTAGTCCCGGTTGGTAACACCAACCGGGACTAAAGCAAAAGGGAAGCATCCCATCCATTGTTAGATGTGTTGTGTAGGTGAGGTGGTAAGCTACGCGCGAGGCAATGCATGGGGTCTTGGGTTCGAATCTCACGAGACGCAGCGGTGGGAGACATTATTTTTTTAAAGCTGGGAGGACCTTTAGTCCCGGTTGGTGTTACCCACCAGGACTAAAGGTTCTTGACCCGGGACTAAAGGACCCCCTTTAGTCTCGGATACTTACTCCCGGGTGGAGAACCGGGACTAAAAGGGGTTCCCCACCGAATGTAAAGCTCTGTTCTCTACCAGTGAGCGTCGCGATCAAGTGCTCCACGAGCATCCGCACACCCTTGATTTGGACAACCCTCACCATGACGACGAACATGGCACCGCGCTGAAGAATATATAAGCATCCATGCAAGTATACAACGCAAAGCGTGTAAAAAATTTGACCGCAAAAAAAAAACGTGTAAAATTCTTCGATAAAAAAGGATCTGATATTCACATGCATGCAGGCGTGGACCTTTAGTGGCGCGAAGTACTTGACGTTCAACTAGGAGAGCGCCATGGCACGGCCTGTGCGCACGATCGAGCCCGTGCAGACGCCGAGGCTTGCAGCCATCTCTTGACGAGCTGGGCATTGCATATTGCATATATTCACGGTTACCGTACCCGTACGGACCAGGGGTTTGGAAATGAATAACGAGAGACAGTACGTGCTTAATTCTGGGGTTGTTTAGATGGTATAGGTATAGCAGACCTGTTTCGATGTAGCTAGCATATACGGCATTGTTCACGACCCCGTACATGTCGAGGTCGCAGTCACGGACCGTCATCTCCAGCTCGAAAAACTTGCCCGCCCTGCATTTCGCACCGTACCAAAGAATCAAATATCGATCATCGAAGAAGTAAGATCAGACAGGATCCAAAAAGAAGTGAAAACCCTGCCTGCACTCTGCAGACTGCACCCGGCCGGAGAGCGATAAGGTACTATACACGCACCTTGGCAATTTCGTGTCCCGGATGATGTTCTTGAAGCAGATGGCCTCAGAGGAACGAGCGGCGTTCGTGGTCGAGGAGACGGTGACCTGCAGCGCCGCCAGGCTAGGACGACGTGACGACCAGCGGAGGAGACCAACAGCGGGGTGTCGGGAGCGCGGCCAAGCTGCTCTCGCCGTCGACGGTGCCGGGCGTGGGCATCGTTTGGTGCTCGGAGGCGGCGGCAGATGCAGATTGAAAAGCTGCTGCTGCCGCGCGCCGAATTCCATCTCCTCGCGGACGGTGCCTCTCCTATCCTGGGGCTTGGCCTTGTGTCATAGAAAATTAGGATCATTTAGCTGCAGATCTAGCGGGTGTAAATTTGCATTTGGGATAAAACCACCTAGAACAAGTACCGGAGAAAAGAGAGAGAAAAGATGGGGGAAAGGGAACATGCTACCGACCATCCGTAGGCTTGGTAGAGGAGGAGGCCATGGAGTCGGTGTCGAGGTCGACGCTGGGGTGAGTAGCTCCGGTGAAGGTGCTGAGGTGCTCGTCCCGGCGGCATAGATCCAGTGGTGAGGGCGGTGGCGCCAGCAGTGGCGTTTCCCGTCGCTGTCAACGCTGCCCTCTCGATCCAACTAGGGTTAGGATATAGGTGGGGAGTTCAGCGGCTGCGGTGAACCTCGTACCCAGTGCTCCGACCCCCACCTTACTCTTTATAGCACTGCGCGACGGGGGCCCACCAACCATGACTGGGTTGGACCCCCCGATCGGGGCGCGGATCAAAGGCCTAAATTGGCCGTTGGGGCAACTTGGTGGAGATCAACCTAACATTTTTCACATTGATCTCACCTTATGACTTGAACTTAAAATACTTATCTCCTTTTCCCATTCCATCACAGATTACCGCATAGAGCGTGCCTCGTCACAACAGTTAGTACATTAGATTAACAGCTACAACACACCTCTCTGTTTTGAAACAGATTCTCAACTAGGCCCTTATTGTCCATGAATCATAGGCTTTCCCGTAAACCCATGTTGACTAAGTGTTGTCTGAATACATTGGGCGGTAAGCCTTTTGTAAGCGAATCCATAGATATTTTCTTTGTACTTATATGCTAGAGACTAATAGAATGATCCTGGACTTTGTCTTTCACAACATAAAACTTTATGTTAATGTGTTTGGCAGCACCACTTGACTTATTATTGTGAGTATAACATACTGCTGGCTCATTGTCGTAGTACAACTTGAGTGGCTTATGAATGTCATCGACCACTTTCAACCTGGGCAACTTCTTTAGCCAGTTCACCTACCACGTGGCCTCGTAACATGCTACAAGCTTGGCATACATCGTGCACGATGTAGTGACGTTTTGCTTCGAGCTTTTTTACGACATACCTCTCTCCGCGAGAGTAAATACATAGCCTGATGTGGATTTTCTATCATCTATATCTCCTGCAAAATCTGAATCTGAATACCCCTCTATATGGAGGGAATCAGATCTTCTGTACATTAGCATGAGACCTTATGTGCCTTACAAATAACGCAAAGCTTTCTTTACCATTCTTCAATGTTCTATTCCTGGATTACTCTGATATTGGCCAAGTATTCTCGTAACAAAAGCTAAGTCAGGACATGTACATACTTGAGCATATTGTAAGCTTCCCACAGCTGAAGCATATGGAACTGCTTTTATTCGATCAAGATCATATTAGTTCTTGGGACGTTGGAATTCCTCAAAACTATCGCCCTTGACTATAGGAGTAGACGAAGGCTTACACGCATGCATACTGTATTTCTTTAGAACCTTTTCTAAGTATGTGTTTACACTAAAATTTGGGAAGAAGAGCGCAGGAACTCGAAGCTTCCAAGATTGAGTCATCAAGGAATCGATTGCATAAGGACCGATTTCAGATGATTCAAAAGCGGCATTGGAATCGGCTCTCTTCGAATAACGTCAGCAGATAACGACAATGAGCTACGGTTGGCGTCGAAAAATACATGTCGGACTTTACAAAAAGGAGAAGATTAGGATCCAAGTTATCTTAAACTAGAAATGTTTTCTTTTATAAAGATTGTAATGAGTCGTACTTGAGTAGGATTCATACTTAGGCTCTGGGTATAAATATTGGACCCCGACTATTGTAAAAAAGGACATCCAATCAATCAATACAAATTACTTTTTTTGGCTTTACGCCAACCCTTAGGAGTAGGAGTAGTGTAAATTTCAGCGAGTTCTTCAAGAAGCAGGTCTGCATCGGTCCGGCCGACCTCCGACTTGTCTGTAAGTACTATCATGGCTTATGCTTTGGTTTGTAAGGCTGCATCGGTTAAGTTCGACCTCCGCTGCGAGCTCTAACATAAGCTAGTTATTGATGTTTACCTAGTTCAAGTACGACTGCATCGGTTAAGTTCAACCTCCACTGCTCGAATTAGATTAAGGTCAAGTTATCGGCTCTACCTAAGAGTAGCATCATTTGGGTAGATTCATTAAGTTACCGATCTTGCTGATGTTCTTATTGCCATTAGTTTTAGCAACATCAATCTGCCCGGTCGAGATCGATCTAGATCAGCCTCATATCCTGTTAGTTCGTCGTTTGCTTTGTTACAACATGATGGTTCTTACTTTGAGCGACGGGTTATGTTTCATCGGTTGTTCTACGTCGATCTTGATCGTGCATAGTACGCGGTTAAGGCATGTCTGATCTTGAAGAGGTTTGGTAGCTAGTTAAATCTGCTCTATAGTTCACTATTATGGCTGTAACAATTTGGTCAATCCCCACTGATGGCACTTTAGATCGGAGGATGCTACTTGGTAGATTGGTTTTTGATCAGGCGTGACCTTGACTGTTTGCTATGCCTGCATCGGCTCAATAGCCGATCGTCTATGCTTTAACACCTATAGTGTGTCTTTATGATTCTGTTAAATGTGAATAGATCTGTTTACTTTAAAGGTTTGATTTGTTGTCTTTATCATGACTGCCATCGATCCGTTTGAACCCTACTGTTAGAGATAGCAGGTTAAGTCTGATGTGTCCATAGATTTGTCCATGTTAAACAGTCGATTGTTCACATGTTGTATTCCCTTTTCCACCTGAACCGGCTATTTCAGCCGATCCGCTTGAGCTTTCACACATATAACATGTCTTTCGGAAAGCATGTCAATGTATAGATGGTTTTACAGATTCTTCGGTTTTAGTTTGTTATTATCATCATAGCTGCCATCGATCCGGTCGAACCTCACTATTGATGGTAACAGATTAGATTCAGAGCGTTTGTAGATCTATTTGTATTAGACAGTCGATTTGTTTGTATGTTATATCCTTTCTCGTTAGATTCATTGACTCAATGCTTCACACTAGTAATATCCACCTAGCTGATGATTTTACTCACATCTGCGTGCATTATAAAATCAATCGCAACCTACAAGCTTTACAGTCTATAACAACCGATTTCTTCGTGTATCGGCTATTTAGTCGATTTTCCTGTCTGGCTGCTCCCGAAGTGGCACACTTGAAACTGTCTAAGTAAGACCGGCATGTTTCACCATAAATTACTGATAAACTTTCTCTCCTTGTCAATTACTGGTCAAATTGACTAGCACGCCTTGGGAGGAATTCGCTGGGTCAACGGGTCCTGCGATTGAAGCCAAGCGGATCTCCGGGCTCATCCTAAGCAGATCCTTCTGGCTTGCTGTGTGCCAGGCGCATTAACATGTTTTTGCACCGACAGTATGCCTTTTGCGATAATCCTAAAACCCCATTTCTTCTATCTCGGTGAATCTCTATTCCTAAAACGAACGAAGCTTCACCGAGATCTTTCATGTCCAAATTTGAGGACAAGAACTTCTTCGTCTCCAGTAGTAGATTAACATCATTACTTGCGAGTAAGATGTCATCCACATACATGATTAGAAAAATGAATTTCCCATTCTTAAACTTTGTATAAATGCAATTGTCCTCTACATTCTCTTTAAACACAAACTTCCTTATTGTTGCATTAAACTTTAAATACCACTGTCTAGACGCTTGTTTTAATCCGTAAATGGATTTCTTCAGGCAGCATCCCATATGTTCTTTTCTTTTTACGACAAAACCTTTTGGTTGTGTCATTAGACAAAACCCTTAGGAGTAGGAGTAGTGTAGATTTCGGTGAGTTCTTCAACAAGCAGGGCTGCATCGGTCCGGCCGATCTCTGGCTTGTCTGTAAGTACCGTCATAGCTTATGCTTTGGTTTGTAAGGCTGCATCGGTTAAGTTTGACCTCTACTACGAGCTCTAACATAAGCTAGTTATTGATCTTTACCTAGTTCAAGTACGGCTACATCGGTTAAGTTTGACCTCCACTGCTTGAATTAGATTAAGGTCAAATTATCGGCTCTACCTAAGAGTGGCATCCTTTGGGTAGATTTATTAAGTTACCAATCTTGCTGATGTTCTTATTGCCATTAGTTTCAGCAACATCAATCTGCTCGATCGAGATCGATCTAGATCGGCCTCATATCCTTTTAGTCCGTCGTTTGTTTTGTTACAACACGATGTTTCTTACTTTGAGCGACGGGTTATGTTTCATCAGCTGTTCTACTTCGATCTTGATCGTGCATAGTACGCGGTCAAGGCATATCTAATCTTGAAGAGGTTTGCTGGCTAGTTAAATCTGGTCTATATTTCGCTATTATGGCTGTAACAATCCGGTCGATCCCCACTGATGGCACTTTAGATCGGAGGATGCTAGTTGGTAGATTTGTTTTCGATCAGGCATGACCTTGACTGTTTGCTATGCTTGCATCAGCTAAATAGCCATCTTTACATCGATCTGATGTATTTCTAAATCGTAATGCACCACTAACGCCATTGTGATTCTAAAAGAATCCTTGCATGAGACTAGAGAAAATATCTCATTATAATATATTTCTTCTCTTTGCGTAAAGCTTTTCGCCACAAGTCGTGCTTTATATCTTTTCGCATTCTCTTTGGAGTCATATTTAGTTTGATAGACCCATTTACAGCCTACTGTCTTGGCTCCTTTAGGAATTCTTTCTAAGTCCCAAATACCATTGGTGCTCATTGATCTCATTTTATCTTGCATGGCTTCAAGCCACTTTGATGTGTGAGCACTTCTCATGGCTTCTTCAAATGAGGTGGGATCATCCTCCATTTAAAATTCTTCACATTCATAGACTTCGTAGTCATCAGGAATGGCTAGTTTTCTGGTTCTTTGAGACCTTCTGGGGACCTCATTAGTTGGCGCTTGTTCTATATGGGGTTGTTGTTGCTCTTCCTAAAAG